CCCCAAAACCCCAAAACCCCAAAACCCCAAAACCCCACAATGTGCAATTGTAATCCAAGATTAATTTAGTCAAATAATTAATTAACTCCTAAGGTTATTTACAATTAATCTCTAATTTCACTTTCTTAAAATATCTCGATGAAGATGATATATCGTATAAGTATTCTCATTCTGAATCACAAACTTATAAGAATTACCATTTCATAGATGACTAGGGTTACATTTATTATGATGAGTAGAAAGCCTATTATGCCAAAAGGTATTAGCAAGAACTTGAATCTGCATTTTATATCATAAAGATCACAAGTTTATTTGTATAGAAAGCCTGGGAAAACAAATATCATCAAGGGCTAAACAATTGCAGCTGAAATTCTGACCACGTACTACAAGGGGTTCTTCGATTAGAAATTAGGGTGATAGTAGCCTCTTATGAATAAAACCATTAGGAAATTTATTAGGTAAGTAACTAATGAAATACTGTTATACTGAGCCTTGCTAAATCGCATGTATGGCATTCTTATGATATCATAGAGATCCTCTCTGACTTTATGAACTGTAAGGTCTGTGAATACCTTCTTAGATCTGTGTTGAGCCTTCATATCATCAATTTTTGACGAGAGTGATTTGTACATTAGCTCATCAAAAAGAATCAGAACAAACTCCTTTCCTAGATAAAACTTAAAAGGGATTTGTAGCACAGAAATAATCACAAGCTACCAATCAATAGCCCAATTAAAGACTGGGTAGCTATAAAGCAAATTGACGGAGGCTATGCAATTTAAATGAATTTTATGAGCTCCGAAAGCGCAAAAGCAAAATATAGAACAGTACAGGAAATTTATGCCAGCACTATATGAAGCCACTCTCATTCCATGTGCATTCTGATTTTTAGTGCCAAGATACTGGTAGACTATCATAAAATAAGCTTGGAATTCAAAAGCAAACTGTATTTTAGGAATAAATAGCCATGGTTCTTTGTAGTTAATAAACTCTGACTCTGGTTTCGACTCCATTTTATCAGGCTGAATGAAGGAAAATATACCTACTGTGATAAGCAAAACTATGTTGGTTGCAAAAATTAGTATGGCAAGTATCTAAAGAAATCTGAAATGCTTATATTTTACTTTTATTCGATTAAAGTCTTTGATCAAAGCTGTTGGCATTAAGAGAATTGCTAATAGTATTATCATGAGATCATTCCAACCTTCTGATATTTCTATCCCTTAGTCACCTAACTGTCCTTGAATTGTAATGTTCAAATTATCTATTCTCAATCATAAGCTTTATTTCATGTGTCTTACAAATGAAAAATACTGGCATCATTGAATAGAGCATTATCTGTAAAAGAGTTATAAAAAGAATTCCTGCTCATCCACCACCAAATAAATATATAATCTCTTATAGTGATCTAGATTATATATCATTCTTTAAAAAAGCTAATTACCCACATCTAGTAGCAGTGCAAGTCAAAACAATCAAATAACATGAAAATAAGCCAGAAACTGAGTAAAACAGCACTATCAACGTAGCTATAATAATTTGAATAAACTAGCCTCTGCTTAAAATTCTTACTTTCTATCGGAAAAAGGTATAGTACATAAGGCAAGCATAGAAATCCAGTTCCTAAAGCTGCACTGAGAAGCATTATAACTCCATTTATGTCTGATAAATTATCTTTCCTGAATAATACCCCTAAATCAATGCTAAGTCTCAGCCATTACAAAGAAATTTACCTTTTTATACTTCATAAACTTAAAATTCTTCTCCTATCCCTAAGCTTTGTTTATTTGAGTGCTAGTTAGCTTCTATATGTGAAGGCATCTCAGTGGAAGGTGTAACATCTGATTTCATTTAAATAGAAGTCTTTATCTCTTGACTCTCTCTCATTATTATCATAATATTTATTCTATTACCACAGCAATGATGGTTTATTATATAATCATTTTTACAAAATCTCATATTTGTATTAAATATTTATCAAGGGGTTTTGGGGTTTTGGGGTTTTGGGG